ATGTGAACTTTTATATGAGTCTGTTAAGCATGTGGTCTCCTCCATTCCCTCAGCAACCATCAGCTTCTCTTTTATACTTAATTTAATTGTACAAACTGACATTGTCAATCTGCAATCCAATAACATGTTTGATGGCAACTCAGAAGAGAGTCTAGTTAATTTTTGGAAGTGCTATTATGTAAATAAATATTCTTGCAGAGTGCTGAGCCAAGACATTTGCTGATTAATCGGAGTTCTGCCCTTGTCTTCTCCAGGAATAAACCTTGAAATGTCAGAAGATACTTTAATGCTTTTAAATAGCTAGAACACACCCACACATTTTTTTGCACGATTGTATGCCATTATGTGGGAAGCCTGATACTAATCACACTGTGCAGTCTTTGTGGTGTGCAGTAGGGCCAAATATCCATCAAGGCTTGCTTTCACATTTCCAATAAGGTATTTCATCTTTATTTCTTTAGTAAATTATTTTTTTCTTCACCACTGCTGAATAGACTATAATTATCTGTGCATTTCTAGGTCTTGCTCTCCACCCCATACCCTGAAAGTTGTGTGTCAGTAGAGAAAGATGTTAAATATTGTTAGTTCTATAAAGGCTGTTGCCAGATGATCTCAAGCTCCTAATGGTGAGAGATGGGATTATATTATCAAATCATGTCCAACATTATGACACCATCTGCTGTAAATATTCCCCATGCTGCTGCTGTTTTGCATGGTCACTATCATTAAAAGTATACAGTTACTAGTACTCATGGAGATCAAGTCATTGGGCAAAGACTCTAGCTTTTGATACCTGCATGAAGAGTGATAGAAAGAATGTTGTCTTGCTCCTAATAATTTTAAAACCTGGGTTATACAGAAGGATGAAGTCATTCAATTCCATGCTTTGGTCATCTTTGTGGTGTGCCTCTAAGGGTTCAAATGCCTTTGCTATATAGCTGTTAACATTTTTTTGAATACCATTATGTAAGATGGACTCAAGGGTGGAGTCATCTATGGAACAGACATATTTCAGTATCTTTGATAATTTTATAAGGAACTATCACAAGGGGGAAATATGGGCATGGTTCAGTATTGTTCTTTATAAGAAGGAACACTGATGTATAGAATGGGAATTTCTGGAATGGGAATATTTTATAAAAACTTAAAAAAAAATATTTTGTAACCTTTAAAACTATTCATTTGCAATATTGGGCCACCATTACCTGCACTTTCTGGTGATTTTAAGACTTTTTGGGACACAATAGGGCATTTTCAGTTCCTGATTTTTTTTAAAGTCAAGCCACTGACAAATGCCAGCAGTGGATTTTTGAAATGCAATCTTTAGAGTACTTCCCAGCAAAACAGTGAGGAAATCAGCCACTTTCTTCTTCCAGCCAATTTATTCTTTCTCCCGAGGTGGGTGGGGGAGTTAAACCCTCCAATGTCCCCCTAGGCCTCTGCTGATCCCTATAGAAATATCTTAGCTCAATGTAATTAACTTGAGATTTGTATGCTGGAAAGGGGCTGGGAAATTGTTCCAATTTTGCGTTGGCATTTGAAAAGGATGGTTGTTCATATTTTGGAAGCAAGTTAAAAAACAACAAAGAGTACCTTACTCCACAATCAGGACTGTTTAGTACATCTACCCAGACTTGTAACAAAGCCTGGGGATTTTATTGTGCAGAAGTCCTATATGCCAAGCTGTAATCATGTAAGTGAGTCCTAAGTAAGTTGGAGTGGTTTCATGATTTAATGTTATTTCTCTTCAGGCTTAAAAGGAATATTAGTGGTACTGCATTCTATCTAATGCTGTCCTTCTCGTTCATGGAAGATTCTTTGATCCATCTGAAGCATCTGTGGAAGGCACAGGACCAGGACACCTTTTTGCCAGTTCCCTCTCCTTTTGGCATCTCCTCCCAAACCACTCCCACTCTCCATACTCACAGGCAGAGCTTTCTATGAATTTAAGGACACTATTAGCTACAATCTACAATTCGTTTGTATGTGACAATAGCAGCTACTCACCTGTGTGCATAAATTGGTGTTTCTGTTGAGGAAATGTAAATTCAGAAACCCAAAGAGCAATATGATACCTCTACTACTGAAAATCAAAAACTGTTCCAAGTGTTAGACATTTGGAAGAAAGCATGGGGAGAAAGCATTGCTAGCAAATGCTCTTCCTGCAATGCATTATTGTCTTAGCGTCATGATGCAACAGGTTCTTTCTATGTATGGTTTTGTGTCCAAGGCATGCTGGAGACAAAGCAGTAGTGGCTACTTTCCCTTTGAAAATACAAAAACCACAAGTTTTTTGAGGCTTGCCTGTAGCACTGATCAAGCAGCTGATGAACAGGAAGACAGTTCAGAGCTAATACGATAATCCTGGTGTCTGTTTTTACTGATGGCTAAATTTCAACCTTTTGCATACATGCAGAACTGAGACTTTATTTTTCTGTAATGAAATAGCAGGATGCTACCTTTATGCCAGGCTTTATATTGCTAACCCTATCATTGTTCTAAATACACATTTTAAAGATTTCCACATGAAATCCATCTCTTTCTTTAAAAGACATGTTCATGAATATTTAAGCCTGATACAGTTTTCATCACAATTTTTCAACTTTAAACATTTCAGAAGTAAATGTGTACAGTGGCTGCATATTGCTTTTTTAATGGCTTTAAGAGGAAGTTGTCTTTGAGAAACTGACAGCAATGTTGTAGAAAAGTACACATTTCTTTAAAACTTCTCACTGTTGGATGAATTTGATGGCAGTTCATTTGCTCCTTAAACATCTTCCAGAATTATTTGGAATGCAGTTATCAAGAAAAAATCACCACACTTCAGATCTTCAGAACAAGGCATACTTAAAGTGAATGGGCATCTACAAAAGTGCAGCTGCAAGTTCCTCACAGCTATAGCAACACCTTTAAAACTGTCAGGTTGTCAGAGCATGAGATGTATTCATGAAATCAGTACACAGTCTTGCAGATTTATAGAGTCTGCATTGTTAGCAAGAGAAGAGTACCTCAATAGAAGATAAAGTGATGGCAAGTTACAAGATTTAAAAAAGAGAAACAATATATTTCCTACAAACTGCTATTTTCTTGAATAGCCATAGAAAAGACACAGTGTGGTGATAAGAGGCAACATAATATAAATAATCCTGCTGAGCCAGAATACTAGAAATATTGTTTTAAATCATGAGTTTGCTACCTTTCTACTTCACTTGAAGAAATATTAATGAACAGGTTTCAAGACAGTTGTTGATTTTCTTGATGTGTTAGGTTAAGGTGGATGCTTATCTTTTTTACATCCAGTTGTCTTTCTTGTGTTGCGTAGTTTGTCATTATTAAATGACAATACAAATTCTCATTTCTCCAGCCATGCTTTTATGAACTCGACTTTTCATTTTTTCAGCATATTTTTATTCTACCTTTAAATCAGTTGCTGTTACTCCTCCATATTGCTTTTAGTAGTATATACTGTAGTACTGCACTGATGTGTCTCTGAAAGTTGATCATCTACAAGGTCTGCTGTGAAGCACTGAATATTTCAGTACTAAGTAGTGAGAAACAAAATGAGAAAGAGGGGCTATATTATTAGTCACTGTTCCATAATTTGGGAAAGCCCAAAAGAACATGGATGTGTTTCAAAACAAGTCTTTTATAAAGCAGTATAGCATTATGCATGGCCATTTGTGTGTCCTGTCTGTCTGAGAGAACAATTACAGCTACCAAGAGAAATTGGTGTAGACTAGATGACTAGTATAAATTGAATTAGTCTGACAAGGACATTTGGGGTGGGGGTCGAATGGACTATCAACCTGATGGAAAACAGAAGAAAGCCCTTGCTGACATAGCTTGACCTGCGACGTCAGTGTGGGTTTTCTGTGTGGTGCTCTCATTCAAAGCCCACTGCCTCTTATTGAATAAAATCAATTTGATGGTAGTTCACAGTACAATACAGAATTCACTTTCAAGTGTGGTGGGGGAGGTTCCAGAAGGGGTACTCTAAGGGCTGCTGGTCACAAAGACTGGATTAAGGTGAACCACTTGTACGCACTTCAAAAAAGCTAAAGGTATCAGAGACTGAGGAAGCGGCCTTAAAACAAGTGCCCTTTCCAGTAATTTTGTAAAAACAAGGGTGGGGGGTTGTGTGGTTAATAGTAGTTCTGGGACAGTTCTTTTGCTTAATTTTGTGGAAATTTGAATGAAGAGGTTTTTGTTCTTTATCAACTGTGGCTTCTAAATGTTTTGGCCTGTAAAGTTTAGATAGATTGCCAGGGTTTTATAAAGCATATTTATATTGTTAAAAAGCTGTAAATGTAACACGTTTCCTTAATGGTTTGTTCACCTTGCTTGGAACTCACTGAACAACTTAATATCCTTCTGTTCATTTTCATTGAAATGGTGGTGGTCATTTTAATCCTGATTGTTTCTGCACTTATTAAAATGCTTCTATGTTCCGTCTTCATTTTATCTCAAAAGGGAAGCAGAATGGAGGGTTATTGAGATACTTTTTTCTTACAGTAAGCATGGAGTTTGCACTTTAATAAATCCTGCACATGCTTACCTGAGAGTAAATTCTTATTAATTTTTTTTACTATTAAACTCAGTAGGATTGCTTCTGAGTAAATATGTATTCAGTTTCACAGAATTTTATTGTATGGTTTGACCATCTAGCTATATCAGATGTTCATACACATGTTTTGTTTCCTAACTTTGTTGTTAAGCTTAATGTAATTTTAAAACGTAAACTTTTCAGAAAGACATGCAGAAATTGAACAAAAAAATTAAAATTTGGTGGAATATTTAATCCAGGCACAATCTGTTGCCATACACAATTTCTGCTTTTCATGGAAGTCTTGAAACCTGCAGTGCAATCACACCAAATCATTGCCTGCAACAGTAATATAATTGTGCAAATCTACTTCTGAGTAGTCTGTAGCTGCAACCATGTGTGTTAATGTGTTTTGAGTTCATTTGTTCTTACTGAGTCTGTATTTTCTTCTGTTTAGGGATTTAAGCGAAAACCAGATTCAAGGCATCCCAAGGAAGGCTTTTCGAGGAATAACTGATGTGAAGAATTTGTAAGTGACGCTTATAAAGGAGCTTGAGCTGAAGCTAAATCTTTTATGTGTTACTGTTCTTATGTATTTGAATTCCAGGTGTATGCCAAATACTTTTTGGTACTTAGAAATGAGATAGTACATTTTAAAAGATATATATTCTTCTTCAAGATTCTAGCTTTTTAAAAAGGGTCTTCAGAATTACTGGGCAGGTTAAGGCAGAGCGCATGAGACAGTAGAATTTTCCCTTGAAAGAGAGCTAGCTAAAATGATCTAGCTTAGTATTGTGCAGGATTTCTGCCTGAAAACCTAAATGCCTTGGGCTTCTTTTCTTGTGTAATGTCTAAAGAAAGTGACATTTACAATGTGATAGTACAGGAAAGAATTTGGCCTCTTTAATATATGCATATAACCCAGTAAATATATATTGTGCCTTTCTTTCTTGAAGTCATAATAGTAATTAATATTCATTTATTTTCCTAAACTTGTAAGGCACCTGACATATATATTTTGGGGTTTTCTCAACAACCCTGTAAGGAAGACAAATAGTGCCAACCATAATTCAAAAAAGAAGGGGAAGGTAAGCTATAGCACTGCCCAATGAATTAATGGCTGAGCTGAAATCTGAGCCGAAGAGTTCTAGCTCATGCTGTTAATCGTTATGCAACTGCAACTAAAGTTAACTGTACAGTTAATTATTTTTCATTTATGAGTTGCAAAAACAGCATCTCTTCCCATTCTATTACTGAGCTTTGTGTGTATTACTTTTCAATCAATTGTGTTAATTAATTTTCTCCTGCACTGTTTTAAGCTTCAAGTCACCAATTGCATTTAACATATATCAATGTACTTAGATTAAGATCAAGTGGAAACAAGGCTCTTGACCAGAATTTTCAGAGAAAAAGCAATTTGGGGATCTGTTAAAATGACAAAGCATTGTTATTTTAAAGACATTGCTTACATTTTAGTTTATATTCCTTGGAAGTGTGATGATTCAAAAAGAGGATACTGATTTTGCTCTCGTTTAAGTTTGTTGTACAGTTTAAGTTAACTTACATGCGGATCTCAGCTCTGTTTTTGTATATGCACAAATTTGAGCAGGAGTAGATTTCTTACAAAACTGCATTTTTGCCTGTTTCCTTGTTTTTCTATATTTGCATTATTTATAAGCCGGCACCAGAGAGCCACTTGTAAAAATTATTTATCTAGCACAAGAGCCTATGAAAGTATTTCAGTAATTATGATATTCCATATATTGTAGTGCTAAACTGATGTTTCATACAAGTCAGAGGTGCTCCTTGTCATTCAAATGGCAGAACTTCTGCTGGGTGGGATTCAGCCTCTGCCGCATGGGTACCACCCTTCCTTTGAAGACACATTTACAGAATGGATGTACTCCTGATTCAGCTCTGAACCTGGATGTCAGGTGTGTGTTTCCTGCACTGAACCTGTTATCCCAGCTGTGCCCATTCCTGGTGATGTCAGATCTGGCCAATAACATATCCCTTAGCTACAACCTGTTGGTCTACTATAATACACTCTGTGTGGGATTGCCTTTGAGAAAAGTTTGGAAACTTTGGCTGGTTCAGAATGGGGCAGCCAGTTTATTGACTGAAGCTAATTCTAGGGATCATATGATTCTCTTGTTACATGAGGTTCATGACTACTGATTTGTTTCCAAACATTGTTCAGAGTACACAAACCCACACATCTTGGGCCAGGTTATGTGAAGTCTGCCTTTTCCCATCGAAACATGCATGCATTTTAAAATCTTTGGGGGAGTCCCTTTTTGTAATCCCAACATCACTGGAAACAAGTTTGATGTGGTTGCAAGAAAGGATCTTCTCACAGGCTTGGAAATTCTCTACAAGGGAAGCCAGGTTCGTACCTTCTTTCTTGTAATTCCACTAGCAGACAATAACAGTTTATTCTGGCAGACCTCTGGGGTGTAAGCTAGTTTGTTTGCTGAAATAGTTTTTAACTGGCTGGCTGCTGTTCATTTCCTTTCGTACTGTGTTTTAATGGTGTTTTAAATTTGTTTGTTGAGCACCTTTTTTGGTAGAAAGGGAGAGGAAGATAAGAGTTAATAAATACATATATACACACTTAGAAGAAATGAATTGGGTTATTCCAGGGCTTTACCAAGTTGACATGGAATGTCTGCCATCTATTTTGTTTATTTCAGAGCTGAAATATTTTATTTTGCAGGGAGTGTTAGTAAAAGTTCAGTGTAATGTCTTTGCCTGCCCCCAGGCTAAACCCCAGTAGCTGCATTGTGGAAAAGGCGAACTGTTCTTCATGGACAGCCCTATACAGAACATAGTACAGTATTATGCTAACTTGGAAATGGTTGACTAATTTCTCCAGGTAAGACTGGAACTGAATTTTCAGTTGAAGCTTATAAAAGGCGATTAGGACTTTTCAGCATTTCAGTTTTGTGCTTATTAGTGCTAACGCACAGATGTGTAAGAGCAAGAGCTGTGCCCTGGAATGCCAGAAAAAGGCTGCATTATTGGCAGCCCACTACATGAGGATAGCAGGTCTCAAAGTACCTGGAAAAGAGCTTTGAACATCACTCAATGAATGAGGGAGCAGGAAGCGCCAGAGTCAACCAACCCACCTCCAAGTGCGAGATGCACAAGTCGTGTTTGAACTTCTCCAGAACTGTGGAATACGCACTATTGCTTCATCTTCCCCTTATATTTAGTTACAACCAAATTCACTCACTTCTTTCAAGAAAAATACAGAACTTAATAGAAGAGTAAGACACGTGTCTGGCAGCTGTAATCTGTTTTGCATTTCTTCTTTGTAAAAAACAGGTATGTAGGTACTATAATGCATATGACACACCTCTTCAAAATGAAACAATAATGTATTCAGTTTTAAGTCTATAGGCTTTTAAAATATATTATGTAATTTCAAAATGAGAAATGTTTCAGGTGACTGAAACTGGTGTTTTATGCCAAAAATGGTCACATTTTAAAAATACTTCATGTTTATTGACCTGTGTGTGTGTGTGTGTGTGTGTGTAAACTGAATGTACTGTTAGACATTTGTTTTGCTTCTTCTTACAGTTTCAAAGTTATGCAATGTCTTAGATGCCTGGAATTGTTGTAATATATAATCAGATATTGATCTTAATGGATTCAGGAAATAATCCTTTGTCTATCTCTTAAACTTCTGTAGGAATAAAACACCTAGGCCGTATTAGGATACTATAAAACTTACGTCACTAACTAAAAATTTCTTATAAGGGAAAATTACTTTCAGCATAAGTTAATTTAATGATTAATCTCAACCTGAACTGCTTATTCAACATCTAATTATAAAAGCAAACTAGCACCTATTTTACAATTGTATTATTAAAAAGCATGATTGATTGTAATAAATATTCCTCATACAGTTGATCTGAGGATAGATTCTGCTTTACAAGGTAAAGCAGTCTTCTGAATGAGCACTGACTTCTTTTTTTCTTTTAAATCAGTATTCACATATGATGTAATGTTGTCCCCCAGAGGCTGGTGCACCAGTTGTGCCCATCCCTGGGGAATGTGGATCTGAAGTGACACAAAGTGACACATGTCTTTATTACATCATGTCTCAATTATTGAAATGTGCTTTTCATTTAGGCTGCTTTTGAAGAAAATTTAGAAACTTGAATAGGTCCAGACTGCAGTAGCATAGTTGTAAATGGAGACTGTAATTTCCTTGTTGAAATTGGATTCAGCTTTGGTTTTGGTGACAATTTAGAGTTCAGATCATGACCGTTCAAAGCCTGAACAGTTTAGGACCAGATTATCTAAGCCTACCCACTGCTGAGATTTTTGGAGGCCCTGTTGTCTCTCCCAACAACCTCAGAGATATACTTCTCAAGGGAGAGCCTTTTTAGTGGCTGCATCTCTCCTCTGGAACTTCCTTCTGATGGAGGCCTAAAACACTTCAACAGTAATACTTTCTTTTTAGGAAGACAGTATACATTAAAATTTTAATCTGCTGCTTTGATTACTTGTCTCTGTCTTTGCTGTAGTTTTGTCATGTACTGCTGGTCATTAGGTATGTTCTAAATTCTAAGAGCTTCATCTAATGGTGCCCATCAGCCTGTTCTAAACTGCTGCTTCTGTTCCAGTCCCGCTCCCTTCCACAAACAACTTCCCCTGCTTGCACAATGCAGATTTTATGCTTCTGGGTCAGGCTCCAAAATTAGTGTAAATCCTTGTTTCTGGAACAGGGTAGGTTGGCAGGGCTGCCCAGGTGAGCTCTATCAGCCCACTGCATTCCATACCTAAGTCCATCTGATTTGGACAAGCCCCTAGGTATATTTTAAATTCTTAAATGTATCGTTCCTTCGAATTACCTGCTTTGAGTTCCCATGCAGAAAGGTGGATTATACTGCATGCTTGAAAACAAATAAAATACTGACCTCAAGTGGGGGAATACTTCATGCTGTAGGTTCAAAGGTCTCTAATGTGATATTAGACTTTAATTTGCTTTTGTTGTGAATGCCTTTGGAACTCTCTTGACTATGTTTTCTTTAGCTTGCTTTGACTACAGTGATCTTATCTTCCCTCTCTGCAGATCTTGTCCCATGCGTTGCCTCCTTCCCCTTTCTCCTTTTCTGATATTGTGACATACATAAGAAGTCGATACAGCCCTGCTGGCCATGTGAGGGGGTTTCAGAAGTGCACTGGCAAACCCCAGCCCCTCTGTCCATGCATGGCACTTTCCCTGTTGTTGCACACTTGAGTAATGTGGGACAGGGCTTTCCTCCCTTATTGATTCTTTTATTTCCTAAATGCATCACTTGCCCTTTACCTCACTGTTCTCAGGACAATATATGATAAAAACACAAAGCCCAAAAGCCACATGAAAACTTAAAAGTAGCCTCTCTTGAGCTTGGCCAACTGTATGCATGTTACAATAAAATGGGAATGAGGGTTGAGTGAAGATATGCAGAATTATCTTTCCTATACAGTTCTTTGCAAGCTCCTTTTGGAAATCTTAGCCTCCTAGTATGGATATTG